ACTTGAGCCACAGTGCCACTTCTGGCTTTTTTCTTTTTGCTTATGTGGTGCTGAGGAATCGAACCCAGGGCCTCAGGCATGCAAGGCAAGCACTCTTACCACTGAGCCAACTTCCCAGCCCATGATAATCTTTTTTTTTTTTTTTTTTTGTCGGTCATGGGGCTTGAACTCTGGGCCTGAGTGCTGCCCTTCAGCTCAAGGCTAGCTAGCACTCTACCACTTGAGCTATAGCGTGAGATATTCTTACCTATCTCAAAGTCATAAAGAATTTTTTTAGTCTATTTCTGTTTTATTTATATATTGATTGATTGATTGTTGGTTGTGGAGCGTGAACTCTGGGTCTGGGCACTGTTCTTGAACTCTTTAGCTCAAGGCTAGTGCTTTGCCTTTTGAGCCGCAGCGCCACTTCTGGATTTCTGGTGTTCAATTGGATAGAAGATTTTCCTGCCTGGGCTGGCTTTGAATTGTGATCCTTAGATCTCAGCCTCCTGAGTAGCTAGGATTACAGGTGTGAGCCACTGGCACCCAGCTTGTTGTTTTATTTTTTATTAGCTTATGTTACTTAGTTGAACAAGGGACATGTTTCATCATTCTTCACACATGTATGCAATGTATCCCAATCAACATTACCTACTGTCACTCTCCCTTCCTCCTTTCCCCACTTCCTTCTTCCTTCCTTCCTTCCTTTCTTCATTCCTTCTTCCTTCCTTCCTTTTTCTATTCTTTCTTTTCCTTTCCTTTCCTTTCCTTTCCTTTCCTTTCCTTTCCTTTCCTTTCCTTTCCTTTCCTTTCCTTTCCTTTCTTTTTCTTTTCTTCTCTTTTCTTGTCAAACTGTGCTTATTGAATGTAAAGTAACCTCAGCCCCATGAGAAAGTATCCCAAGGAGAACAAAGTAATACAGATTAAATATCTACCTGCCCATTCACTCTCTTCCACATATACAGACACACACGTCACGTATGTGTCAAAACAAAAGGAACACCTGCTTCCCCCAACCTGAATGCTGGCTGGTAGAAGGGAGTTCGGAGGTGGGGTTCCAGGATAGGTTCTAATAACAACAGATTTGTCCTTTCTCATCCCTTGTTCTGCCCTAGAGGCCAAAGGGACCTGGGTGGGATGTCTAGGAGGAAGTTGGCAATTCTTCCCCACTCTGCTGAAGATGTTTCTTGGCTCTGATCTCATTCATGGCCTCTTCAATGGAGTATGTGTACCTTTTACTGGCCACTGGCACATGGCCATAGGTCTTGTTGGCCTGTAGCTTGTGGGCTACCTCCTTGGCTGCTCCCTTGCCAATGAGATGGCTGTACTTGTCTTTGTAGTTACTGGCTGAGCTCATCACCATAGGTCTTACTGCCTCTGGACCAGCTCCTTCAGCTTCTGATTCTCTTCAGCCTTCTTGGAGTCCCGTGCCTCCTCATGACTAGGGTCCAGCTCTTCATCTGAGGGTTTCAAAAGAAGACCATAACAGTGACATCATCTTCTGGAAGAAGAACGTCAGGCCTGCAGCTTCCACCACGTTGTGTAGTAATGCTCTCCTCTGTCTTCTTCATAGACAGAAACTTTTTCTTGATCCCCGCCCACTGTCTTGGTTGAAATCTGACACCTCTTTCTGCATCGTTTTATAAAAATCCACTTTCTGTTGTTTGTCTTGTTGTTGTAGTTTCTTCAGGCAGGCAGCCTGCTCTCGGGCATTGTGCCAACTCTCCTGGTCACCAAGGCTGGGCTGCTTCTTCATGGAGCTCAGGATGGAGGCTAATAGGTCTGCCATCTTGGGAGTGTCTTGAGGGGGGGCCTCCCCACTAATTAAAACATATTCAGCACATTACATTGTTCTAGTTTTGTACTTGTAAGCAAACTATTTCCAACACAGTTCACCTTCATCCTCTTTCCCTTGTTGCCTTAACTTCCTCCTGCCAGTACCCCTCCCCTGACCAAAGGCCTTGCCCCTTCCTCCACTTGAACCGTGCCTTCTGTCCTATTTTCCAGTTTTAAAGTTACATTTGTCTTCTTTCCTTGCTTCTTATATTTCTTAAACCTAGCCATAAAATTGGGTTGCATTATGTGAACTGTTTCTAAATGACTGAGTTTTTTTTCCTGGTATTTTAAGGATAGAATCACTTCCTAATAATAAAATTTCTGTTTTAAATTTAGACTTTTCCACAGTGATGCTAGGATAAAATGGTAACCTGGGACAGCTTCATTTGAGAAGATCTTGTGGTAGATTCTAATTTGCATAACTTGTGCTAGACTTGTTATTGATGTACTTTGAAAAACATTTGATCATGGATATATTTTAGAAGATTTTTCTACTTGGTGATTTCCCCCCACATTCCACCCCAAACAAAGGAGAATCTTAACCACAGTCCTTGATAGCTGGTGATTTTTTTTTAGAAAATGAGTTTAGGGTTGGGCCAGTTAGGCCTCATAATCTACATTAAGTCCTTTGCAACTGTATTTTTTTTTTTTTTTTTTTGTGGTGTTGGGAATTGAACTCAGGCCTGGTATATGGGTGACCTATCACTTAGCTACACCCTTAACCCCAATGGTGTTTTCCTTAACTATTTTTCTAAATAATAGGATTTATTAATTTTGAATTTCATGATCAAAGGACCACAGACATATAAGAAACTATTCAACTAACTTTCTTCATATGATACCTATGTATTTTCAGGTCCCGAAGACACTGGGATTATTAAGGATGATAAGTGTCAAGTTTTACAGTCGCCAGGGACAAGAACAGGTAACACAAATTTGCTTCATCTTGCATTTTGAAAGTCTTTTCTCCTGATTTCCTTAAGGTTAAAGTTGAACCATGAACATTCTAGTAGGTGAACATTCATGTAGGTGTATTCATAATTATATGCAATATAGTTATATGTAATCGTAAGAATTTGTAGAGGTATTTACTCAAAATTTGTGCATTTTAGAGTATATCAATCTAAACTAAAAAAATTATATTTTAGAAAATGAACCTAGTCCACCTATGGTCTGATGATATATCCTAAAGGATTTTTCCGAAGCAATGCATATGTGAATTTTTTATTTTATCTTAAAAGTCATGTGAATTTTTTTTGTCCATATGAGGTTCCTTTTTCATTGCCAGAAGGGAAACAAGTGTTATTTTAAGAGTAGCGTTGCTTGTTTGGTTCATACTGGGTTCTGGTGCTTGCTTGGCTCAGTTGCTGGGCTGATGCTCTACCACTTGAGCCATGCCTCTAGCCATGCCTCTAGTTCTTTGCTGCTTAGTTGGAGATGGAGTCTCTCACACTTGAGTTGACTTTGAACCATGATTTTCTGGATTTCATCATCATTCTTTTTTTCTTCTTCTTCTTTTAATTATCTTTAAGTAGTTGTACAAAAAAGTTCCCATTCTACAAAGCAGTATATGGGATTTCATCATCTTGAGTAGTTACTGTTATAGGCCCAAGCCACTGGCACTAGGCAAGCATAACTTTCTTGAAATTATTTTAAAGATTAAAATCTGAAAATGCATGGTTCCTCCAGTGGATTTGGGAGTGATTTTTACACCAACAACAAGAAAGGTAGAAAAGAAAATGAAAAATAGGTCTAGGGTTTGGGCACCAGTGGGACGAAGTAGGGCAAATAGAGGGTGAAGAAGGTGGTATGGTTTAAATAGGTATATAGATATGCGGAAGTGAAACAATGAGCTACTTTAGATTATGTAGAGAGTAATGGAGATGTTGAGTCTGATCAGGGTTCACACAATGCATACATAGGCCATCACAGTGAAATTTCCCTTGTTCAGAGAATGGATGCTAATAAAAAAAGTAGACAGAAAAAGATTTTTTTATTGGCATATATTACATATATTCATTGTGACATGCCCCTACACGTGTACTATGCATTCCATTAACCTCCCTCACTGTCCCTTATCCCTTCTTAAAATCTCCCTTCTTGAGATAACATTATTTTCATATATGTATATGTATATATGTGTGTGTGTGTGTGTGTGTGTATAGTGTTTGAGCGTGTTCATCCTCATGCACTCTCCTGCTGGGATTCTCCCTCTTTGCCTCAGCAAAGTCTGATTTACTTTCTTTGTTCTTTTTAAAATTGTAAAACTAAAGGAAAAATTCCTCCCACATTTGAGATTATTGATGCTCCAAGAATGATCTGTGGTTTTGGTTACCAATGTCTTTCATTTTGTTACGTGGTAGGAGTGGCGTGGTCCATGGCATGGAGCTGGGCCCTTGCATTGTGAATGCACGTGGCTCAGGAGGGCGAGCCCTGCCTCTGAGGAGCTGGCCAATTTTGCTCTCTCTCTGAGACTCTTAACTAATAGGGAATAGGAATAGGAATAGGAAATCATACTCCTGTCTTGGGAAGAACCAAATAGCCTCATTTTTCTCCTTTTTCAATTCCTTTGCTAAACCAATAAGGGAGTTGTAATGAGAATTCTGTTGCTGCATGTATTGAATATATTGTAAATTCTAAGTTCTAATTACTTCTCTGTCATTGACTTCAGCACAGTCACATGTTCTGGATGGGTTTGTGGGTCTGTTGATAGGAGTAGAGCACTCACACTCCTCCCTGTGTCTAGAAAGTCTCTTTCATTCTGAGTCCTAGTGACACTGGTATCTAGTTCTTTAGTTATTTTATGGAGTTGTCTTCATTTTTCAGACAAAGAAACATATGCAATTCTAGATGACTTGGCCACTGCATTGAAGTTTGTTCTGTTATAATGTGCTCTGCTGCCTCTGTGGTTCTTTAGATTACCATGTTAGAACTCAGAGGTGTCACTTTGCCTTTCTCCCTGGAACCTGTTCCCTTTCTCTGTAGTGACTTCTAAATAATAAGTAGCTCCTTGTCTTCCACAAACTTAAGAGAATTTTGTTTTGTTTTGTTGTGGTTCTTTAGGTCTATTGAATATAATTAAACAAGGTGGTAGAATTTCAGTATTAATTAATTTCAGTCAGGCAATAATCATATACTTGAGCCAGGTACAGCACTAGGGCTGAGAATAAATAGATGATTATACTGCAGTGAACTTCCTCAAGGAGCCCTGAACACAGTGGAAAGACAGGCCTTGAAGGAGCAGCAAAGCAAGAAAGTATCATGCATTCTAATGTAGTACAGGGAACTAATGAAACACAGAAGAAGAAGCATTCAGCTTTGGAGGTGTTTGTTACTTGGTATGAATGTTGGAGGGAGGAAAAGGACCTCTAGCAGGAAGGGGAAGGGGATGGCTCTGTTCTGGAGGTAGTATGTGCCCAGGTATGGGAAATACCTGAGAGGATCACAGTGGGACACACCAGTGTGCTGAGGTAGAGAATCTGTAGATGTTTGATTTTACTTACTAATATAATTACATTAATAATTGAAATAAGAACTATTTGGGGGCTAGATGCTTATGATTTTGTCTGCATCATATATGGTAGGTATGAGATGTACAAGACGTTATGTCGAAAAATGAACTTTACAACTTTGGTGGGGGGTGGGAGGTGGGGGGAGATGGGAAGGGATGGGAAAGGGAAACAAAGGAGGTGGCAACAACGCTTGATAAGAAATGTACTCATTACCTTGCCCATGTAATTGTAACCCCTCTGTATGGTATTTTCACAATAAAAAAAAAGAAAAAAAAGAGGAGCTGTTTATTAGCTCACTTTGTATATTAATAGATAGGTATAAATCTGATCATTATAAATGACCATTTCCCATGGTTTCTTTCATCTCCTGGAAGTCCAAGATGTGTGATGTTTGACCACTGCTGTTGGTTCTTTTGTGGGGAAACACAGCTTTTCTCATGTCAGGATCCTCTGTGGTTGAGGAAAGGCAATTAATTTCCTTGTACTTTCACCCCTTTTTTGTGACACATTGTACCAGAATTCTTATGGCTTTTGAAAAAGGTTTTGAGTTTTGTATTCTACAACCAGTACTTCCCAGTAAAGATGATGTTGGGTTTGTTGTCTTACCTAGAGATTCTTGGCCCAAAGGTAATTATAGCTCATAGATTTTGAGTGTTGTTAATTTTAGAGTTGAAAGGAACTTCTTATTGTGAATACTTCCTCACAAGCAGGGGTTTTCCCAGCAAGTTTTTGTTTCTGGCATTATGGGCCTATTTTTTTGTGAAGAAACTGAAGCCTCAAGACAAATGGCTTCCTTAGTTCTCTCACCTAGAAACATGGGTTTGGTTTTAGGTTTCCTGAGATCACTGCCGTTTCCTTACCTCTTGCAGTTGGCAGTTTATTAAAACCTTAGTTGGAAAATGGAAGAAACCGAAGTGAAGATGTGCTATACTTAAGATAGCCAAGTGACTAATTATGCTTTATCTCAGAATGGCCTATTTTACCATTCAAGTTTAATAAAGCAGTCATGTTGTTCTTTTAAATCATATTCCTTTTTAAGCATTAGTGCTTTTAAAAAGGAATTTGTTTGTCTATGTAGTCATTCCATTTAATATTTTAGTTCATTCTTTCCTTTTTCACACTATAAAATGACACACTGAGGTTGGACAGGATTAAAGGGTAGTTCATGGTAGTGACTGTTGCAGGACAGGACTAGAGGGTGGTTAAGACAGTGACTGTCACCTGGCCGACACTCAATACATAATAGTCATGGTAGCTGTTATTGGTCTGTTAATGTCTTTTGTAAATCCTTGATTAGCTCTATAAGTAGAGTTCATTGTGACATTTCCACACTCGTATACAATGCATTCCACTCAATCTCAATCCCCCTCCTCACCCCATTATCCCTCCTCCTTATTCACTCCCTTTTCTTCCTAATGCAGTCTAGTAGGTTTTGTTATCACACATGCCAGCAATTTATTTTGGCCATATTCATCCTTTCTCACCCTCCATTACTTATTAATTTCGTTATATCTGTAATGCATTAACTAAAAAGAGTAGTTTACAGGTTCAGCTTGAATTACGCCTTCATATGCCCTCAATTTATATTAGTTTAAATAATTAACTTTTGGTTGTTTGACAATACTTTTTTTTTTTTTTTTGTGCCAGTCCTGGAGCTTGAACTCAGGGCCTGTGCATTGTCCCTGACCTTCTTTTGCTTAAGGCTAGCACTCTGTCACTTGAGCCACAGTGCCACTACCAGCCTTTTCTGTTTACTTGGTTCTGAGGAATCGAACCAGGGCTTCATGCATATTAGGCACATCCCAGCCCAATTTTATTTTAAGAGTATACTTATAATCAGGATTATATTCTTTTACAAATGATATTCGTTTAGATTTTTTCTAAATATATGTTTATATATTTTTCTTTTGGCTGTCCTGGGGATTGAACTCAAGGCCTCATACTTGCTAGGCAGGAGCTCTGCCACTCTAGCCATACTTCTACTCTTTTTCATTGGTTATTATTAAGGTAGGGCTTCTTTATTGACTTAATGCCTGGGCCATCCTGGACTATGAGCCTCCTGGGAGTGCTTTACCTTGTAGTTTAGATAACTGGCTTCTTCAGACTTTCCTAATGTTTTGATCGCAGATAATTCACTACATTTTTGAGGGTGACTTTTTTTTTTTAATTGAAGAATACTTTGGTTTTGGTGTTTTTTGAAATAAGGGCTTTGTAAAGCTTGCTAGGCAGATGCTTTATTACTTGAGCCACAGTTCTACCTCTGGCTTTTTAATTTTTTTGATGAATCTCTAATTTACTGGGCTCATGCATCTATTAATTAACCTTTTGTTCTGTTTAGTACTAGAGATGGGACCCAAGGCCTTATATATTCTAGACAAGGGCTTAACTACTGAGTCACATTCCTCAGCCCTGTACTAAACTCCTGGAGGGTAATGATTTATGTTTATCTTGTTTACTGCTGATTATTCAGATTGTAGTGCAGAGCCTGCATGTAATATTTATTGTTGAAAATACAATGTTCAATAAGGACTTGTGGAATGTTGGAAGAGCTGCATTATAAAATTATCTTTTATTGATCTGAAATATCTTTCCTTAAAAATACGTAGTAATTCAGAATGGGTTGGATGTAAGTACTAGGTACATTCAGCACTTTCATTTTAATGTATCATATACTTAAAAGGTACAGAAAATAGGAACTCACTTATTTTTAACAGTTCCACATAGATGATAACCACATAATGAGACTAAGACACATTAAGCTAATCTCAGTACCAAGTGCTAAAATTGAATTCCTAAAAGCCCCCTCTCTTAGAAAGGACAGATGGAAATTTTATTATAAAGGTCTTATCTAAATAAGAAGGCTTTAATTAGTGTTTTTAATTAAGAGACGGTCAAATGGACATTTGAGCTAGTGGGTTAATAAAAGTAGAAAGAGGAAATCACATCAAGAAAAAGTGTGGGTTAATGACAATTCTATAAAGTATTCATATATAGTATAATTCACCCATTTAAAGAATTGTACAATTATCTTCAAATCAGTTATTCTTTTGTCATTCTGGAAAAGACCATGTATTTCTTAGTTATTACTTCCAGTAAGGGTCCAAATTTTAAAGAATTCACAATCTAGTAAGACTAACACCTAAAACTTAATGAGAACTCATGATAATTAATAATCAGGGGATATTTCATATGTGTGTATGTTTGTTTATGCGTGTTCCAGACCTCGGGCTTGAACTCAGGGCCTAGGTATCCCTGAGCTTTTTTGCTCAAGGCTAATGCTCTTCCACTTGAGCCACAGCTGCACTTAGAGCTTTGTGGTGGCTAATTGGACATAAGCATCTCATAGCCTTGCCTGTGTTGGGTTGGCTTTGAATTGCCATCCTTATAACTTAACCATCTGAGTAGCTAGGATAATAGACATGAGCCTGCAGTGCCTGATTGTGAGGGGATGTTTTTATAACACTCACATATTTGGATTTGAGGGTATGTATAAATGTTAACCCTCTAAAATAGACCACAGACTCACTCCTCTGCTGAGGAATCTGAGATCTGGAGGTTCTTTATACAAAGCCAGCCCAGGAATGAAAAGTCCTGAGACTTCCTCTCCAATTAATCAGCCAAGATAGCTGAATTGGAGATGGCTCAAATGTAAAGAGCCAGCTGTGAGCAAGCAAGCTGAGGGAGCACGAGTCCCTGAGCTTAAGCCTGGGGACCAGCAGGAGAAAAAAAAGAAGTCTTGCTTCTTTGTTCTGGAGTGCATTGACAGTGATATGTAGTGGTGCAACCCTTCATTACTAGTGTTCATTTATAACATAACAACTCTAATGATTACCATTTAATTCTGGAAGTTGTTTCTAATCCACCTAAGTCCTTAGATTTAACCTTACCATCTTGTACAGGATGGAATCTTCAAGATGAGCCTTTCTCCTGATGGGAGCCTCCTTGCAGCCATCCACTTCTCAGGGAAACTGAGCATCTGGGCCATCCCATCCCTAAAACAGCAGGGGGTCTGGGATCAAAATGAGCAGGTATGTCGCTTGGTTTTCATTGTTTTGTCAGTACCAATTGTATTTTGGTGATTTTTTTTTTTGTATCACAGAGCTGTTAATTAGCCTCAGACCATCCTATTATTCAGTTAAGTTTTCATACCAGTTGATTGCAGCACCATAGGGCAAACTTAAATTAGACTGACACTGGGTATTGGTGGAACTTGTGGGGCAGTGCTTTGTGCACCGACTTATGTCCACCTCAGTAGAACTCTGAGATGTTATGGGCCAAGTAAGCAGTAGAGCTCAAGCATTTGTTCTGTTATGGGACAGGTAAGCTGTGGAGCTGAGTGTGATTTCTATCTGACTCTCATGTCTGTGCTCTTTCCCTGGCCATGTAGGCAAAAAAACAAAAAACAAAAAAAAACATTTACAAAAGGTAGACTTATATATATATATCAGTCTAGTAAATGCTAGCATATCTAACATGTTTTTGTCTCCATGAGATTTCTCAAGCCCTTGGTTAGTTTGGGAACTTACTGTAATGTGAAATATTAGATTTATGTGTAATAATAATATATGATAACAGGATTCTGTCTTGTGGGGAGATCTATTTACTTATTTTATTTTTAAAAAATTGTTATTGTAAAGGTGATGTACAGAGGGGCTACAGTTATATAAGTCAGGGTGGGTATTTATTTTTATACTGACTTTTATTTGGTAACCTTTTAAAGCACAGAGACAAATCTTTTCCTCTGCGTCTGTAATACAGACTTCTTAGGCTCTCAGAGAGGCTAAATTCTTGAACAACTTGATAGACTGGTGTAGTGTTAGGTACCAGAATAAATAGAGCCTCTCATGGTGACTTTCTAACTTTATTTGTAAGATATAGTGGGCATGAGGTGAAGGCAGTAAGTACTGTTTTCCAAAAATAATAATTTGAATGTATATTGAATTTGAATGTAAATGGAATGTATCTTCTGTGCCCTAGAAATGAATCATATTAAATTGAGTTTTGGTGTGGGATTTTAGTATAGGTGTTAGTGTACTCTAGTAAGTACAAGTAATGATTGTGTGTGATTTTTCTGTAAAGTGGAGTAGGTTGTTCCTGAATCCATGATAATTATAAAATAATAAGGCTTAAGTATTTGTTGACTTTTTTTAATGGTCAGTGTTTAAACTCAGGATCTAATGCTTTCTCTACTACTGAGCCATGCCTCTCTACCCCTTAAGTGTTTTTTGGTTCTGTATTGCATTCTAGAATAGGAAGTGAGTCTGTCTCTACCTTTAGGATATTCTTGGTTTTGTATGGGAAGTTATAAGGAAAAGATTAAGGTAACATGTTAATATAGAAATAGAAGCTCCAAAGGAAAGGCTTGGAATTTACTGGTAGGATTGGGGAGAATGATCTGTGGACATAAACTTGTGTAGTAAAGCTGGTTTATTTTTAGAGAACTTTTCATATTTTTATTTATCTCACAACAACTCTACTAAGTAAAAACCTTTTATACCCATTTTTAACAGATGAGGAACAGTGCAGGACAATTTGCCTGAGATCACTAAGTGTTGTGATCTAACATTTTGATTCAGATTTTCTTGACATTGTAAGTCAAACCTTTTCTTGGAGAATCTACTTACAGTTTTTACACTTATAAATATTGCCTTTTATCTGGCTGAAGAAGATTCATACATGTAAAGTTAATGGAGTACAGGAGAAAGATACTAAGTTTCTATCAGTGACATCTACTCTGTCATACAATTCATTATTCAGAGGCCCTAGAAATGTACACAGATAGTAGGAGTCAGTGAGAAATATAATATTGTCCTTTTCAGTGAGAGGTATAATAGTCATTTTCCAAAAGTAGAAGTGTCTTTTGTATGCATCTCTGGAGTTCCTTTAGAGAGAAATCCCATAATATGGATGCATGCATGCATGTGTGTATGTATGTGTATGCATATGTATACATATGTGTGTATACACACACACACACACACACACACACACACAATGGAATTCTATGTTTCCAGCAGAAAGAATGATATTACCCCATTTGTAAGGAAATGGAAGAGTTGGAAAAAATTATATTAAGCGAAGTAAGCCAGACCCAAAGAAACATTTGTAATAACTAGAATGTCTAGGCTATTCTTAGCAGAGGATCACAATGGTTCAATAGCTATGTGCATATGACCATATAAAGCGATGCTTATCAAAATGAACTCCATGAAATGGAAACAAGAGGTTTTTCTACTGTATTGTTTGCAGTTCTTTCTTTCTCTTCCACCCCGCCTTTGGTTTATTCTCTGTCATCACTGTTTTGATTTCTGTACAATTTGTCTTGTATGTAAGTTTATCTGATTTGAGGATGGAAAGGGTTAATCACAGAAATGGTGGGACAAAGGGTGAACCAATACAACAGTGATACTTACTAGACACTATGTTAGAAAGAGCTTTACAACTTGGGGTGGCGGGGAGGAGCGGGAGAGTGAAGGGGGTAACTGTTCAAAAAGAAATGTATTCATTACCTTACTTATGTAACTGCAACCCCCCTATATATCACCTTTGTAATAAAATAAAAAGAGAAATCGGGTCTGTAAAACAATGCTGAAACAGCTTCGCTTTCCTCATTCCTCAGCAGTAATCAAATGAGCTGGGCCAGGCAGGCAAGCAGGGCCAGGGAGCAAGGCCAGGCCAGGCAGGCCTTTTGCTCCTCTAGCAAATGAGTGGACGGACAAGTGAGCTTACAGTGGAGTGCATAGTCATGTGGAATGTAGTGTGTTATAATTTTAGTCCAGACATTGCCTAAGATGAAGCTACTGGTTACTGCAGCCATGTGATACTTTGAACTTTTTAAATTTTTATTTATTTATTTTTACCAAAAACATGAATTTAGCTTGTTGGGTTGTTCATCATGGAATTTGCTGTCTTATTAATTTTTTTAATGTGCTTTGTGTGACTGTTTTCTCTGTTAATCCTAATGATTAGACATGGTTGTGGAAGTGCCTATTCTGATTTACTTCCTTCCAGTTTTGAGTTGATTAAATACTTCAGCTTTCATTGTCAATATGAAAATCCATCTGGCTAGAAATCTGTGAGTGTTAAATTTTGTTCAAGTATGGAATAGAGTAAAATTGCTTGAATGATTCTCATTTCAAACATTTCCTGTATATTTATATCTTCTTGTATATTTTTGTTCTTAATTTTTCTCTGCAGGAATTTTCTACTTGCCTGTTTACACTTCTGCAGGTCTAGAATAGGTGGAATAGAAACTTTCCTTTTTTATTTGTTTGTTTTCATTTTATCCTCTTGTTAACACAGGGTAGGTGTTAGACTCATGCACGGATACTGTGAAATGGATGAGTCAGTGAGGGTTAAGAGGGAGGATGGAAGTCCACGTGGTTAATCTTGATAGAATCCACAGCTGTCTTCACAACTTTGCGAAACTGTGAGCTCTTTGAGAATTGGCACTGCATGTATATTTCATGTGCAGACTAGCATAGGCTTAGAATATTAAATATGAATAAATATTTGTGGAATGGATAAACATTTACAATGTTGCTTTTGTCAAGAATATGTTGGAGAAGAAAGGTGTGATTCTTTTCCTCCATAGTTTATATGAGAGTTCTGGCAGATACTCCTATAATAAAAGACACTCCTATACCACTCAGATTGATAAGAGAAAAAGCCTAAAACATTTATTTAGTAACAACTTCTTGCTGCCAACCTGAATGTGGAAACTTTTACTTTCCATTCTCCACTAGGCGTTAGAGGCAGAGATCCAAGGGAGCTGATGGTTAAAAAAAAACAACAAAAACACTCTTTCCTCTTCAGCTTGCTTTTTGTCAGTAGTTACAGACTTGAATTTGCAGGCCTCAGAGTTAGTCATTCTCAGCTACTCCTCACTGAGCTCCCGAAACTAGGAGCAGATGGCTTTAGAGGCATGGCCTGGCAATGGCCATAATCCTAGCTACTCAGGAAGCTGAGATCTCAGGATTTCAGATCAAAGCCAGCCCAGATAGACAAATCCAAGGGACTCTCATCTCCAGTTAACCACCTGTACAACTGAAAGTGGAGGTGGGCTCAAGTGGTAGTGTACTCTGAGATCAAGACCCACTATAGCAAGTATGTGCACCCTCCCATCCCGACAGAGTCAGGCTAACAGATAAAAACATAATGATTTAATTTAATCAAAGTTTTACATGGTATGGGAGACTTCAGAAGTGAAACCCAAAGACTCATGGAAAGCTGAGTTTTATGTTTAGTTGTGATGAAGAATGGACAGATATATAGAAATGTGATTGGACAAAAAGGTTATATGCATAGACTGAAGTGGAATCTCAGCAAGGCCTGTCCAGATTCTTCCTGGTCTCTCTTCTCTCAGTAGGAGACAACTGCCCACCTCCCCTCATATGGGCAGGACCTGTGGAAGAAGGTCTTCTGGAAAGAAGAGAGAGATAACTTTCATAGCTTTTGTGAATTTCTTTAGAGAAGAGATCTGGTCTCTGTGTTCTACTTGGGAAAGAGGAATTCTGGTTTCTGTGACTTATTTTGGGAGCGAGTGAGGAGGAGGTCAGTGAGACCTTGCCGTTGTATCTCAAGTGTCCTTCCATTCAAAGTATTCAGCATGCCAAGGTGCCATTCTTTGGGGTATCATATTCTGAGCCTGGACACGTACAAGAAGTGACATGAAGTCTACTTTTTGGCTTACAACCTCATGGCGTCTGGAGCAGGGCCCTTGGGTGAACGTTACTCTGGGTTGTGGGGAAGATGGTGCTGATGCCTTCAGAGCCGTGTCTGCAGTGCATGGACCAGTTTCAGCTGTAGTGTGGCAGAGCCAAACACATAATTGAGGATGAAGTTCTTAGGGCTGGGGGACATTTCGGGTAGCATGGGTGTAAGAGGGGAGCAGTGATATTCCCTAGGAAACTGTGGAGAGACAACTTGGTTGCCAGTCTTGCAGGCCGCCTCTGTCTGAGTGAAGTTTGGAATTTTGTTTGGGCTTTTCTCTTAAATATATTGTATGGATAATTTCACCAGTGTCAAGTATTGTGAAATTAAATGTTTGCTGCGTATGTATAAGACTGAAATACAGGCATTTAATAGTGGTTAATTTATTAATGCATGAAGTTACCTCAATAAAAAAAATCATGACTTAGATTTGAAACAGGCAAAAATGAAGATGGTTAAGTATTGTGTCCTTTAGTATAGGTGAACTAATGTGTTTTCCTCCTTCTGTACTTTTTTTCCATTTTTTGCTTTATGACCTGTATTGATTTTATACATTGCATCCAAATTTTATCCAACTTTAAAAGCATAGCACCAAAAGGCTTTCTTTGTATTTCTTGAATTCTCTTCATCTTTCTCAGGCTTATATCCAAGATTCTCTCTATATTCTTTGAAGACCCCTGGCATGTAGATCTGAACCCTTGTGAATGGTTAAAATTTTGATCTTGGGTTTTACTAATTTACCCTTATTTCTTAGCACAGTATCTCATTTGTGTAGGACCTGTAGTGTCAGTTTCTTTTCCTTATCTCATAGAGTAAATGAGTAGTATTCCTTGATTAAATAGGTGAAGCCATACTTCTTTTCTTTTCTTTTCCCTCCCTCCCTCCCTCCCTCCCTCCCTCCCTCCCTCCCTTCCTTCCTTCCTTCCTTCCTTCCTTCCTTCTTTCCTTCCTTCCTTCCTTCCTTCCTTCCTTCCTTCCTTTCGTTCTTTCATCCTTTCATTCTTTTGTTCTCTTTTTTGTGCTGGTCCTACGGCTTGAAGTCAGGGCCTGGGCACCGTCCTTGTGTTTCTGTGTTCAAGTCTAGTACTCTACCACTTTGAGCCACAGCTCCACTTCCCGCTTTTAGGGTGTTTAATTGTAGGTAGAGTCTCATGAATTTTCCTGCTTGGGCTGGCTTCGAACCATGAGCCTCAGATCTCAGCCTCCTGAGTAGTTATGATATACAGGCATAGGCCACTGGTGCCCCGTGAAGCCACACTTTCGAAAGGGAAAAGAAAGACTAGTATTATACCAGTTAATGTTCCTAAAGCTTAGAGGGGCATTTGAGTTGCAATTTGGAGATTTACAGGATTCATTATTTACTCCTTCAACATTTAGCTTCTATAACAAATGGGCACTCTGATGCATTTGGGACAACCAAGGAAAGTATGACAGAATTCGTCATGAAGAACTGATTTTCATCTTTGGCTCAGCATTGAATTTGCAGGAGATGTCTGTAGTTTAAGCGTTATGCAAGGATGTCCGTAATTGAAACAGCCTGCAAGGAATATTGTTGTCTTTGGATGGTGGTCGTAGTGGATGGAAAGCACTTCTACCACCAAGCTACATGCTTAGCCCTCATCATACAGGCATACTTTGAATTCTCAAAGTATTTATGCTGGTGAGGTTATTTCTTTTTATTTTTTCCCCTCAAGATTTCCAGACAAATTTCACTGTGATCTTCATGTCCTTAAATTTACCCAAAGTTCAATCATAATTATTGCTGCTTGAAAGGATTCAAATTTTAGAAGTTTGTTTCCTGTTGCCCTTGTATACTCTAGAATGCAATTTTAGTGTCATCATATTGGTGGAAGAGATCTGGATGTGGTTTGCATTGTGTAATCCCAGTACAAGAGACGCTGAGACAGGATGAGGAAAGGTCAAGGCTAGCTGGGGCTACATAAATACACTGTTGTCTCAAAAACTCCAATCAAACAAATAGATAAGTGCCTTGGGGGGCATGTGATCTAAGCAGGGTCATTCTGAGAGTCACTGGAAGGCTACCAGCTGCCCGGCAAATGGCCAGATAAGATGCCAGTGCAGTTGATTATTGTATTCTAAGTCTTCAAAATTTATGAAGATTTACCTTCTTATGCGTAAGGAAGCTGGTCACCATATTTCAGCCTTTGGCATGTAAGTGGATTTTGATAACAGTTTTTTTTTCTGGTGAGGTTAGAGGAACATGTCTTCTGTTCTGGGACTGCTGTCTGTGATAGTGAGAACAGGAAGTTCTTTCAGGGATGTGAAAGCAGAGTCTGTTTAATATTCTGGAATATGAGCCATTCGCCTACAACCTTGTTTTTGGCAGTCAAAATGCTTTTAAGTATAATTCTACTAAGACTAGTACTACTAATTTTTATTTTATGTTTTTTTTATAACATTTAAAAAATTTCAATTTTACATAATTGTACATATTTAGAGAGTACAGTCTGATGCTTCTGAACATGTATTCAATGTTCATTGTTTAAGTCAGGATAATTAAAAGTACCATTTACTCAAACATTGATCATTTCTTTTTGTGTTAAAAACCTACAAACTTGAGCTTCTCTGTAGAATGTGTAATCAATTGTTTCAAGCTGTATTAACCCTATTGACAACACTTTTGTTGTCATTTAGATTTAAGATTTCAGTTACATATACAAACAACTGTTTTTTTCATGCTATTGTAATTTTGAAGATTAAATAAGGAACATAAATTAAGCCAGGAGGCGTCTGGCCATGGCTTAATCTCACATGCTTATGTTCAAGAGCTACTGCAGTCTCACTGTGCTGCCAACGGCGGCATGGTATCGCCAGATCACCGGGCTTAATTTCTTTTATTTAGTACATTTTTGGTCATAGAAAAGTAGAACTAGTTGGTGACATGGAGGTTGCCTAGTCAAATCTTAATGCTCTGAAAGCTCAGTGGGGCCTTGGCACCTGTTAATGGAAAGTTTTTTACTTGAATTGTACCCAGGCCAGTATGTGGTTATAACATTAACTGTAGCCTCTTGACATGTAGATGTGCTGTGTGTGTGTGTGTGTGTGTGTGTGTGTGTGTGTGTGTGTAATAGCTTCTGTGTATCTAGTTTTGACTTTATTATTATTTGTATCCTTGCAGTTTTCTCATTCTTATGAATGCTGTTTCTTCCATCAGATTGAGTCAGTTTGGCCTTGTGATCATTTTATGTCTAATAACTATTGCTTTGCAACACTATTAGAGAGGGGAAACTTCAATTATCTGTAACCAAGAGATCAAGGGAAGGCACTTTCTCCACAATTTGTTTTGAATATTGCATAGCACTTGTTGATTTTCTCACACTTTTTTCCCCCATGGTTGGCTCAATAAACTGTGTACATGTTTTCCTATTTAGCCAGGGTTTGATGAACTTAATCCTCATTGGAGGCTTTCTACTGAGAAGAGAAAGAAACTAAAAGGTGAGTTGGAAGAATAGGATCATTACAACCTTAAAGGAGACTCTTTTTACTATCTAGTATGAAATGTTCTTTAGGTTGATACAAACAGTCCCTTGATACTTCTGCCTCACCTTGGAAGAAACACAAGGTATCATACCAGTGGATCAAGGCAGAAACCTAGTTTGTTTCCTTCCCTCTTCCATTTGTCCTTATCTCCCTTTAGTTTTATTGTGTTGGGACTTTGCTGTATAGCCCATGCTGGCTTTGAACTCATCCTTGTACCCTAGCCTCTCAAGTGCTATAACTATGTGTGTATGTGCTACTTTACTGTGCTAGACGCAGTTGTTGTTGTTGTTTTAAATTACATTCAGACCCCATTTTCTTATGGTAAGAATTTTCTGAAAGATAAGCAGAACCCCAAGGTCCACCTGCCAGTCGTGCTAGGGGCCAGTGCTGAATTGCACACTGAGGTCCAGGCCCAAGAGACATTTCTGTGCACATGTTCCTGGACATTGTGAAGAGGATAGCTGTAAGATCCTCACCCAAGGACAAACCCTCAAAGGATGTCTTGGGACTTGGAGATAATTATGTTTTGATTGCTGTGGTTGGCTGCCCTCCCTCCTTCCCCCCCCCTTTCTCCCTCTCCGTCCCTCCCTCTGTCTCTCCCTCCTTTCTTCCCTCCCTTCTTCCCTTCCTCCTTCCCACCCTCTTACCTGCTTGCCTTCTTTCCTTCCTTTCCCAAGATCAAATCCTGTTCTTGAACTTTCTTACTTATATGAATTGTCTTAGCCTGCTTTAGGAAAAAAATGGTGTTATGGTCTTTTTCTTGTTGTTGTTAAAATAACTAGTTATTTTCATGGTCTGGGACTTTTTCTCCTTAGTATAAGTATATTTTAAAATTTATAACATCTTTAAGCCATATTGTTGCCATTGTGGTACATTGGAATTATAATTAAATATTCTGGCACTTTCTTGTGAATTCCTCAGTTTGGTGAACCATAATTCATTTTAATTCCCAAATTTTTATTTGCCTTGAATTTTTCAAGGCAAGTATTTAAATGTTATTAAATGTTATTTATTTAAATGTTCAAGAGGGAAATCATCACTGGAGCTGTTATGTAACTGTCTTCCTTCCTTCTTGTTACTATTTTACTGTAATTTTCTCAGTGTTTGATTGAAGGAGATAGATGTACATTTTCCTAAATTTTTTGTAATCTTTATATTTGAGCTTGACACATACCTTTTACCTTTTCATGTTGACAATAGTGACCTATCACTTTCTGAAGTACATACTTAGGTTTTTGACAAGATTTTTCCCCCTTTTTTAGAATACTTAATGATGAAAAACTAAAAATACCCTCTAAAATCAGAAGTGAGACAAGGATAGCCACTCTTTTCACCCCTCTTCAATATGGTGCTAGAAAAACACAAAGAGGATCCAAAGGAAAGAAAGAAATAAAACCATTTCTTGTTGCAGATGACATGATCATGTTCTTAAAGAAACCTATATACTCCTCCCCCAAAATACTAGAGCTGATTCCAAACTCCGGTAAAGGGTATAAAATCATTCCACAAAAATCAGTAGCTTTTCTGTATGTCAACACAGAAAAGATTGAGTAAGATCAGGAAAGTAACTCTTACTTTCAATAACCTCAAAAATACTTAGGAATTAAATTAATAAAAAATGTGAAGTGCCTCTATCATGAAAACTTGAAAAATTTAAAAAAGGAAGTTGAAGAAAATAACAATCCATAAATTCATATAGAACAATAAAACAACTCTGAATAGCAAAAACAATCCTTAGCAGGCAGAACAGTATTGGAAGAATAACACCACCAAATTTCAACCTCTGTTAGAAAGTTATGGTAATAAAAACAGCTTGGTCTGGCACAAAAACAGGCCTGTGGACCAACAGAGCATACTTAGGTTTTTGACAATGTTTTTTCCTTTTTGGTTCTGGGTGTTAAACCCAGGACATGGCATCTGGTATGTATGCAAGAATTATACCACTGAGCTCTGCTCTTTACTATACTTAGATATTTAGAAGGACCTTAATTTATTATGTCTGTATTCCTAAAGCTTTGAGCTTTGAGTAATTGTTGGCACTCAGTGTTTATTAAATAAATTACTATTGTAATATTTTCTATCTTTTACCAGAGGGAAAATTTGATAACTTCAATTTTTTTCTCATTAAGATACCTTTAGGGCTCAAATAATATAGGTGAGTTTTGACTAAATTATTGTATTAAATACATTGTACCTAAACCACTTTCACTGATGTGTTTGCATTCATTCCTTCCCCCCCCCCCCCCACTTAGATAAAGAGACCTTTTACCCGCTGATTGATGTCAACTGGTGGGCAGATGGTGCAGTGATTTTGGCTCGATGCTCTGGTGCTCTAACTGTTTCATCAGTGAAAACCTTGAAGAATCTCCTGGGAAAGTCCTGTGAGTGGTTTGAACCATCACCTCAGGTCACTGCTACCCATGATGGGGGATTTTTAAGTTTGGAGGTAAGGCTTTTTCCTTTGAGTATGCATGCATTTCACCAGAAATCAAATATATAACTTTATTTTTATTAGATCCTGTTCCATGATCTAATCTTGTCTTTATAAACAAAAATCTGGAGTGATATTCTAATGACTCATGCTTATAATCCTAGCTAAGATCTGAGGATAGTAGTTCAAAGTCAGCCTGGGTAGGAAAATTTTGTGAAAAGTCGTATCTCCTATTAATTAGCAAAAAAAAAAAAAAAAAAAAAAAGTGTGGATATATGGCTCAAGTGGTAGAAATTTATCCTTGATCAAAAAAAGAAATCTCAGGGATAATACCCATGCCCTGAGTTCAAGCCCCAAAGCAGCACCCTTCCCGTCCCCCACAAATAACCTGTGATTGGAATCAGTGGGGGCAGTGTATAAAATCCAATTCAGTTGTTCAATGTTTCAAAAGCATTGAATGTAAAAGAATGAAGAAAGTGTGTGGGGATTTGGTTCTTGGAGTGTATTTCTTCTGTACAGGACATGATAGATTCTTTTCTAGATGATTCTGCTCAGCATGTGGAATAAGTTAAGTATTGCCTATGAGCACTTTAAATATTTTGGATCTTTAAATAAAAAATATTTGTTCATCATGATGAAAGAGTTGAAAATACATGCCATTTAAAATTGGTCATTTAAAGTTCTTATTTTACTTTCAAGAATAATAATTTTCAATAGCTTTCAGTTCAGCTGTGTAGAATGACAAATAGTTTTTATTCCAAAGGTTGTTATTGAGTCTAAAGATATTCTCTAAAGAAAACTATGGCTTAAAATTCAAGCCAAATCTATTAAGTCTGGAATGAAAGTTATCTTTATCAGCCAGTCTTCCAACTCAGAACTTTGTGAGGCTGTTAGACTTTTTAAAAGGGGTTGTTGGAGAGCTGTTCTTAATAAGGAAATAAATACTTTTATGTTCATTCTCTAAATCCTCACCTTGTCTGCAGCTAGTATAGCAAGGATAGAAGTAAAAAGAAATTCACATTTTCAGTTCTTTATTTCTAAAAATACTGTAATAGTTGACATGTGTTTACAAGACCATCTTATTGGCCTATTACTAAAATGGCATTTAGATTTAGAGATTTGGAGATGATTTATGTTTGGGTGTTTCTTGAGTCTTGGATTTATGTTTGTTGTTGGGTTTCTTTGAATCACGTGTGAATCAAACTGAAGTAATGGGTCAAACTGGAGTAGAATTAAACACTTTTAGAATTGAAAGTTTTTTTCCATTGTCTAAAAAGTTGTCTTTATTTTTTCACCATGAATTGACGTCTTCCTTTTCCACCTAGTGTGAGATTAAACTTGCCCCCAAACGATCCCGGTTGGAGCTGCGGGCTGGTGAAGAAGATGAAGGAGAAGAAGAATCTGACTCTGACCATGAAACATCTGCGAAGGCTCGCTACTTTGGTTACATAAAACAGGGCCTTTACCTGGTGACCGAGATGGAGCGGTTTGCGCCTCCTCGGAAGCGCCCTCGGACCATTACTAAAAACTACCGCCTTGTGAGTTTGCGCTCCACAACTCCTGAGGAGCTTTATCAGAGAAAGGTGAGACCATTTGTTGCTACCAAAAGGTAAAGGCTTTAAGCTTTCATTAATTAATTAATTTTGGTGCTGGTCTAGTGGCTTAGACTCAGTGCCTGACCCTGAGCTTTTTTGCTAAAGGCTAGTGATCTATGACTTGAGCCACAGCTCCACCACTGGTTACTTGGAAATAAAAGTCTCATAGACTTTCTTGCTTGGACTGGCTTTGAATGTTTATCTTCAGATCTCAACTTGCTGAGTAGCTAAGATTATAAGCATGGGCCACTGGTATCTGGTGGCATTAGCTTTTTATTTTATTGGAAAGAAACTAATTCTGCAATAAAGGAAGGCATTTAATGAGGGGTTCTTGATATATAATATTAGAATATGATATTATATTATTGACCATTAGAATTTTGGTATTATAAAGCCTTTATAACTTATGCTGTCTTTGTACATGAGTAATCACAATCAAAACAATGGAAATTAAGTGGGTACTGGTGGCTCATGCCTGTAATCCTAGCTACTCAGGAGGTTGAAATCTAGAGGATTATGGTTTGAAGCCAGACTGGGTAGAAAAGTCCAAAAGATTCCTTCTCAAAGTGGAGAATACCAGCTGTGAGCAAGTCTAGTGAGTGCCAGGCCCCAAGCTCTTCAAGATCTTGTACTGGCAAAATAAAGAAGTAAACTGAAACAATTGCCGGGTGCCGGTGGCTCACGCCTGTAATCCTAGCTGCTCAGGAGGCTGAGATCTGAGGATCGCAGTTCAAAGCCAGCCCAGGCAGGAAAGTCCGTGAGACTCTTATCTCCAGTAAAACCACTCGAAAACCAGAAGTGGCGCTGTGGCTCAAGTGGTAGAGCCCTCGCCTTGAGCTGAAGAGCTGAGGGACAGCGCCCAGGCCCAGAGTTCAAGCCCCACGACCAACCAAAAAAAGAAAAAGAAATAAACTGAAACAAAAACAAAAACAACTTGTAATGAATAGTAGAGGAATTCACTCTGAATGATTATTCACATTGTGGCTTAGCCTGATTTTCTTTGGCTTCTCTCCAGCTCCTCATACCTGCATTTAAGCTCTGCTGTCTACTCAGGGTGCAGGTGGTGAGAGAAGCAGTTGGGGCTTGCCTTGGGAACTATGACCACTATTTCCAGTTTGAGTTTTGGACTGTGTAAGCAATTTCTTACACTGTTGTGGAAGTCAGTTTCTTAGGCTGTGTAAGCAGTCTCTCATCTTTTTGTTAAAGTGCTAAAAGTATTCCTGATATATGTGGTCCTCAAAATGTCTGCACTTCTGGTACCACAAGACCTACGAATCTATAGCTTGCTGTATGTTTCTACAGAGTAATATTCCCATGTCTTTTTTTTTTTTTTTGGCCTAAAGATTGAAAGTGAAGAGTATGAGGAAGCCTTGTCTTTGGCTCACACCTATGGCCTGGATACTGACCTTGTCTATCAGAGGCAGTGGAGGAAGTCAGCTGTCAACATTGCCTCAATTCAGAATTACTTGGTATGTGTAACTGTCTTGCAGTATTTTGGCAATGTGGTAGAACTTATATTCATAGGATGCCTTTAGGTTGTGGCTTACTTTTAGAACACTTTATATTAATGACTTTTCTAATTACTGTAGAAGAGTCTGTTGCTTCTGCAGCTTGGCTTTGGTGCTGAATCTCCTTGAAAAGATAAGTCACTGCCAAACCAACCAAGTACTTGATCTTGACTTGATTCTTTCCCTCTCTGTATCTCTCATCACTCATGTTACTCAGGGTCTATTTAAGATCTATAAGGGAAATTTCAATGAGGTAGATTATTTTATGGTAACCAAAGACTAACTAGTAAGGGCTAAATAGAAATGCATGCCTTGTGGGGAGGTCTCCTCCACTAGGCTAGGGTTCAGGTAGTTTTGGCTGAAGAAGAGTTAGAGAAAATCAGATGAAGAGAATTTCTCGGTGTTGTCCCTGGCCAGGGCTTATCCACAGGTGTCCAAGAGTAGAGGTCAGAGCTGGATAAGAAAGTTGAGTATGTAGTTCCAGGGAGCCACAGAGCTGAGGTGATGGTCCATCAAACCCCAGGGACTGGCCATAAACCTCCCAGAGGCAGCAGACAGCTCAAGGTTGATGGATAGACAGGAACCATGGCTGTGACTGTGGGACACACTCTTCCCTACCATAGGCAGGTAGGGAATTTATCATGTCAGAGAAAGCTGGGAGTAAGTGCCACTGAATGTGACTCCTCTTAGGCCACCAGTTGAGGAGCAAGACATAAAGAGCGAAAGCACATCAGGTCTAGAAAGCAGAGATTCTCCCTTTGTGGTGGCCTTTCAGTGCTTTCTATGGACACAGCTTAGCATCATGTCAGCTATAGATGAGAAAATGCTGTCCTGTAACCTTCTTAGAGGGGATTATGAGAACTGAGAGTCAGTCTATTGATAATGGATATATCATACTTGCCAAATACTTTATTCCCCCCTGAAATCCAAGAACTAATTCCTTCTCATGTTAAAATTTTAAAGTATCCTTGTCTTGGTCAGTTTGGCACTATAACATAAATACTATAGACTCAATGGCTTAAACAAGAAAAAATTATTTCTTATGGTTGTGGAGGTTAAGAAGTCCATGATCCATTGTCATCCTGGTTTGCAGATGGCATTACTTCTAGCAAGCAGAGAGAGGAAGTGAGTCCTTATTAGGCTCTTTTATGGGTACTAATCCTACCATGAGGGTTCAGCATCTAATTGTCTTTTGAAAGCTGGCTCTCTGAACAAACACCAAACATCATCATATAGGGAATAGTTTTAACTTTTTTTTTGTATCTGTCTGAGACTTAAACTCAGGACCTAGATGCTGTCCCTGAGCTTCTTTTGCTCAAGGCTATTGCCCTATCACTTTAGCCACAGCTCTACTACTGGCTTTTTTGGTAGTTTTTAGTGGAGATAGGAGTCACAGTGACTTTCCTGCCCAAGAGCTTTGATCCCAGATCCTCAGATCTCAAATTTCTGAGTAGCTAGGATTTCAGGTGTGAGACACCAGTGCCTACTTGGGGGGCTGTTTTTTAATATATTATTTTTTTGGGGGTGCATTTTAGTAAGTTTCATCATTCTGAGCCTCTATGCTCAAGGCTGGTGTTCTACCACTTGAGCCACAGTACTTTTTCTCAGTAGTTTATTGGTAATAAGAGCCTTATGGACTCCTGTCCTGGCTTCCAACTGTGATCCTCAGATCTCAGTCTTGAGTAGCTAGTATTACAGGTGTGAGTCACTGGTGCCCAGCTTAATTTTATTCTGGACTAGGAAGGTGGTTCAGTGGTAGAGGCTTGCCTTACATGCCTGAGGCCCTTGGTTCGATTCCTCAGCACCACATAAACAGAAAAAAAAAGCCAGAAGTGGTGCATGGCTCAAGTGGTAGAGCGCTAGCCTTGAGCTGAAGAGCTGAGGGACAGCGCCCAGGCCCAGAGTTCAGGCCCCACGACTGGACCCGCCCTTGCCCCCCCCCCCCCAATATAGTCCATTGCTATATATGTCCATTTTCTTTATCCAGGTTGGCTTTCAACTGTAATCTTCAAAGCATAGCCTCCCTAGTAGCTAGGATTTCAGGCTTGAAACACTGGTGTTCTGGCTATTTTCGTTTCATTTTTTTTTTTTTTTTGTCAGTTGTGGGGATTGAAGTCAGGGCCTGGGTACTGTCCCTTAGCTATTTTTTTTTTTTTTTGGTGCTCTTCCACTTTGAGCCGCAGCTCCACTTCTGGTTTTTAAGTGGGTAAGTGGAGAAAAAAACCTCATGAGGACTTTTCTGCATGGCCTGGCTTTGAACCATGATTCTCAGACCTCAGCCTCCTGGGTAGCTAGGATTATAGGCTTGGGCCACTGGTGCCCGGCTTATTTTTACTTTTTAAAAGAATCTCCACCCTGATTACCATGGCTGCACTAATTTATAATCCTATCAGTAGTGTATTAGGATTCCCCCTCCCCCCACATCTGGCTAGCATTTGTTGTAATATGTTTACTTGGTGATAGCCATTCTGACTGGCTCTAATACACTGATCCTTAGTGTATTACATGTTATTTTTGGGTGATAGCAAGTCTCTGTGTTTTTTTTTTTTTTTTGTCTTTTCTTTTTTGGTACTGGGTATCGAACCCAGGACGTTGCGCTTGCTAGGCAAGCGCTTTGCCACTGAGCTACATTCCAGCCCAAGTCTGTGTGTTTTTAACCTTGGTACCTTTATGAGGAAGTAGTGAGACTCAAAACATGTTTTTAAAAGGTTAGGACTCCTGAAAAAATACATCTGCCTTTCAAATGATTCTAGGAAGTACTAACAGTGGATGGGTTTTTTCCCCCTCTGAAATTCTATCACATATGTGATAGAGTTGTTGAGCTGAGGCTTTAACCAAACAGGACAATTAATTGTTAGTTTTAATATGACATACCAGAGATGAGAGGGTATGATCAACAATGGAAACAAGAAGACAAAGTTGCCCATATTTGCTTTGGAAGCTCAGAACCCCAAATGTGCATTATCTTTGATTTTTTTCTGGAACACAATGAACAGTTTTGGTCCCTGAAGGAGCTGTGAGGCACTAAGTAGAGACAAAATAATAAGATTTTTTAGTGGGGAAAGTAATTCAGTTAAATAAATAAGCACTGTATTAAAGGCATGAATAGATACAGAAGAGGCCTAAACAGAAGCATAAAAGGTAGCTTTTGCTGTTCAGGAGCTTAACAACTTTATGAAGATACAAGCTTCTTACTTGAAGCATATACAGTTATCTGAAAAGTAGGAGCCTTTTCAGTAGCGATAGTTCCAGACTCAGAAGCACAGAGAAAGCCTTTTATGGAGAAGGTGTTTGGGGCAGGAATTTGAGAGGATTCAAAATAAGCTTTCTTCAGCTGGAAGAGGAGTATTCCCAAGGGAGCATGTTTGCACATTAAAGAACTGTGAACCTGACCCATTTTCCAATCAACAAATCTGTCCATTTCTTGTGGGATCATGGTTAGTTCGGTACCTGGCCCACAGCATATAGGACATACTACAAGAGAAAAGAACTGTAAGTCAGCCGGCATGCTGGAGCAGCGTCTGATGATTGGTGTTGACTGGAAGTATGATTAGAACAATATATTGATTTGGGTTTGAGGAGATTTTGAAAGTTTAGGATTACTTAGGTTTTATCTTTGGGGGTACTGAGGAACTGTGGTGGCTTGGTGGCAGATGGTGTCAAAGATGATCAGATTAGGTGGAGAATGGTAAGGGACACCTTGCTGGGGGCAAGGAAGGGGCTCTAACACTGTTCTTCCATTGAGCTGCTGATTTGCACTAGTAGAGAGATCACATTTTTTAAATAGGGAAGTGAATCTGAGGCATATGAAAAAAGACTTGATATGGTTGATTATGTAAAGACATAGAGAGTATGAGTTAAATCTTACCTCAAATTTGTAATGTAACAACATTATCTAGCAAAAAGGCAAGTCAGGAGTTTTTGAATGGTGTTGGAGAAAGCAGTAGGAAGGAAGAACAGGCCCTTGGTCTTCCCCAAGCACAGCATACGTTTGCAAGTATTATCGTTGTGTTATGTGATATAGCTCTTGGTCAAATAAATACAGAATTTTGATAGACTGTGCCTTGTTAGTTTTGTTTTTCAGTTAAGGGTGCCTGCTACAATAGAAAACACATTACTTGCCTTGTGTCTTATATTCTCCCATATATATAGCCTTTTCTAAGAGCCTTTGTGTTTTGTTATAGTTTCTTACAAGAAAAAAAAAAAAAGCACTTGCAAGCACATGTCATATCCAGTTCAAAAATCACTGTTAAGACAGGAGCTATTTTAGGTTGTATTTCTCAAGCAGCTACTTGTGGCCAAATTCATAAGTAAGTATAATGTACCTCATGTGAATAGGTTTATCATTCCAGAAGGCAGCTTTCAGGTGCTGTAAGATGCTCTACATTCTTCAGTGTCTCTGTTTTTTTTTTTTTTTTTAATTTCTTTGTATCTAGAGTAAAATAAAGAAGCGATCCTGGGTTCTTCATGAGTGTTTGGAAAGAGTTCCTGAAAATGTGGATGCTGCCAAAGAATTACTTCAGTATGGATTAAAAGGCACAGACCTGGAGGCGCTTTTAGCAGTTGGGGAAGGAACAGATAATGGCAGGTTGGTTATACAAAGAGGTAGATTCATAGCACAGGTGACTTTGCAAATGTCTAAGCTAACACATGGGACCAGGACAGTAGTCAGTCACTCTGCATGGAAGCAGTTGCCTTAGACCAGGGTTTTCTCATCGTAGGTCTCAACTTTCTTTGCTTTAAGCTTAATATGCTTACCTATGATGTCTTGTTGCTGAGAAAGCATCAAGCTCTACAAAGCTTAATTGATGCTGGCCATTTCTAAACTGGGGCTATGACAATAAACCTGAGTTGGGTTACAAATTGCTTAAAGTGTGTTTAGGTAAGTCTGAGCTTATATTTTCTTAGCTGTGGTATCATACCTCCGTCCAACAATTACTCTTAGGGACCACATTATATATTTTAGGTAAACACTGCATAAACTTAATCACCATTTAAATGTCAGTGATAATAGTAATAAAATTATGTGCCTATTGCTCATGAGACATTTGGGATTTCTTTTGAAAAACAGTACATTTGACAAGTAAATAGTTTAAATGAGACCAACATTAGTTACCATTTTTAGAGAAAAACAGAGGTGATTCAAACTGTTAACTCTTACCCGCATTTCTCTAATGGACTATTTTACATTGGTGACTGTAACTGTACTTATTTCCTAAGTGGTTTTTGTGATTATTGCCAATGACTTTTTCCTTAACCTATAGACATAATAGTGAATCATTTTACTTGGCAAACATGTTTAAAAATATAACTGGTTGCTCTTTCTGTGGAAACCAAGTTAGGAAATTCAGCCAAAAATAGGAGAAGGCAACTTTTCATGAAATTAAAACAATTCATTGCAGTGGATTTGATTTTCCTTTTTTTCTCCTCAGATTTATATTACCTGGTGAAGTAGACATCGACACTATCTCCTTTGAGGAGCTCTCGCCACAGGGTGAAGAGCCTGCCGTGAATAAGGAGGGAAAAAAACTTAAGAAGAGACAGGAACTACTGAAACTAGTGAACTTTTCCAAGTAAATCAGTTATTACTAATTATGTACTAATTTCTTTGAAATAACTGGTCACTTCAGTTTGTTCTTCACTAGTGTTCACCACTGTAAGCTATGTCATCAGTTTAAATGCATGGGATGGATTATTTTTGACTTTGTTTTTGTGTATTCTTTCAGTAGTTTTGGGCTCAATGGAATATTGATGATTTTTATTTAGTTTTAATTCTTGAAGAAATGTACTTATGTGTAAATATAAATGGCCTAATGTAGTTATTCAAACAGGTTGACATTGGAACAAAAGGAACTTTGCCGTTGTCGACTGAAATTATTAACTTACTTAGATCGACTTGAAACATATGAGGTAAGGAGTAATTTTCATTAGAGCAGCTGTGTTCATTCGATCTGTTTGACATTCTGTGGCTGCCGAATATCTGATGCTTTTGGTTTTTAAAGCTACTTATGAGGAAAAATTAATTTTTATGAAAGCAGCTTCTCTTATGTTCTAAGTTTGGTAAAAATTAGAGATTGTAAAAGTCCAGAAGTTGTTTCATTACAATAGGGAATATAAAGGACCATCTTTAAACATAAAAGCACTGTGGTTATTTAGGTCTTTGGGGGCACATGCACAGATGTCAGATGTCATTATTTCCATGGCATTTTATGCAGTAAACTGGCTTAGATATTGTTGAATTAAATGGGCCACATTTCATCTCATGAATGTAGATAGAATGCATTTTTGCATGACACTCATTGGTAAAGTTGAGCATTAGTAGTAGTTGTTTTTCCAGCAGTGGGAAAGTTCTTGTATAGAGAGGTATTAGGTATTTATAATTCATAACTGCATAGAAATTACTTTTTGCTTTCACCTGGTGCTTAATTTTGATTGTCTTACTCTAATGAATTTAATTTTAACTAGCCATTTCATTTGCGTGTGGATTTTAAAAATTAACTGCAGCTTAAAATATGGCCCCTTTCAAAACATGGGCAATAATGCAGATGTAGAACTTTAGCTGGCAGTTGGTAGTTGAGATTTATGAATTCAAGCCTTACTTGTTTAGGCATACAAAGTTTTAAAGTTTTTTTTTTTTTTAGTATTTTCTTGACTCTCATGCTTAAAAGAGTGTTCATGAATTCATGTTTCCCCTCAGGAGATCCTAGGAGTGAGTCACGCATCTGCACAGAGCTATGATGCTGAGTTCTTTAAGAAGTTCCGAAGTCAGAATATCGTTCTCTCAGCAAGAACTTACGCTTGGGTAATTTCTTTGTAAATAGAGTGACTAAGGCTGTTAGCACTAAATCTTTGAGCTGTGCAGTTAAGGTGATTGCACATGCATCCTTTCTTTTCTGTTGTAATATTAATACAAATGGACAAAATGTATTATATTTAATAATTTTTATTCATTTAGTTTTAAAATAAATTACTGTTTGGGAATCATACAGGCTAGGAAAAGGCAGGAAAATTTCAAAATAATATCAGAACTGATAATAAAAGATTAACTTTGTATCAGTTATAATCAATATAATAATCCTTATTCCCAATGTTATAAACTTGTCACTTACATTAGAAACTTGTCACTTGTTTTTTGTATAGGAAAGTAATGTCCAAGCCCTAGAAATTCTGTTCACTTACCATGGTGCTGACCTTCTTCCTCATCGCCTCCCGATTCTGTCCAATTTTCCCGAAACCACTTCTCCACATGAATACTCGAGTTTGCTGCCTGAAGCGAGGTATGTGACCTAGATTTTACCTTTTTTTCCTAAATAATAACATTTTTTATTTGTTTGTTTTAAGGTGAACATTTCAAATTAAAAAAAAGTTATTTTCAACTTATTTCTTAAACGATCCTGAAGCAAAAAAAAATACATCCATCAAAATAAAACCACCTTAAGTTCATGAACACAAACTTGGAGAACAGTGTCTATATGAAGTAATGGTCTCTTTTAGAAATTGAACTGTAGTTTGATAACATTAGGGACCTCGGAAAGTCTTCATCTTGCTTTGCTCAGCAGCCTTTCCTTTATGTGAAATCACAGAGACACAAAGAGAAATGGGAAATCAAAATGCCACTTAACTATTAGCTAGAATAGTGCTCCTTATTTGAATTCAAGGCTGTTTGTCAAATGGATTGCAGCATGTTGGACAGACTCCAAGTCTATTCAAATGTTAAGTCCTAGTATTGTCAGTTCATGATCTTCTGGAGGTCAGAATATCACTTCTTGACAACAAAGCAAGGAGAATATATCTGTCTTACTGCATAGCTCAAAGATGGATAGGCCATTAACCCAAGGCCTCAGTGGCACCTAAGGGAAGAGAAGAGAGTGGGACACACTGCGTAGGTAGGAGCAGCAGAGCACTAACATGTGTGCTTGTGAGGTCTTCAGCCAGCCCACTGTGCACATGGCTAGATTATTAATTGGGTGATTTATATTTTTTGATTTAGAGTTAAAATGAGTTGATGGTCCCTGTCTTGCTTACTTATAACTCATATTTTTAGTAGCAGCTGATATAATAATAATTTTATATAATTATATATGTAAAATTAGCTTATAAACCATAAAGCACTCTAAGGGAATTAGATTAGTTCTGGTTAAAATTATTATTGCTGTCTACTCGAAGCTGGCAGCACTGAGGGATGTCATGGTACTGTGAATCGTTTGCTTCTTCACATGTGGCTGCCACAGTATCGTGTTTAGGTATTGAGGATGAGCATCTAATAATTGCTGTATATTTAGCACATACTTGTATCTGGCCTTCAAATAATTTTGGCATTGTTTGTGTTATTGTAAAAGGTTAACATTTGTATAAGTTTAGTAGTATGCTAAAGGCTGCATATATGTAGCCAGGATTTGAATCTATGTTTGAGTTATAGTTTAATAAACTCAAAATATGTTATAAATTCCTCAATTTGTACTCCTTTTGTATTAAAAATTAAATCTTTGTCCTTATGAAAGTGAAGAAAGACAAATCTTTGCATGATTTTTTGCATTTTAAAAGAATTTTTGATCTATGCAGTGATATACAAATAACTTCATTTTTGTTCTCTGTGTTTTAGTAGAGAGGATTTTCTTTTTGGTGTAAATTATTTATCTAGAAGAAAGGATTACTCTCACAGGTTTTTAAAGCTAAGTTTCCTTAGATTTCCGTGCATATTTTTGTTGTTGTTTTCTGGAGATAGCTGAAACATTTGCTTTTTACCAGAAATTTCAAAATTGGTCTGCAAATAGAAACCAATAATGGGCTTTGAATATCTTGTAGTTTGTATATAGGACTTGTTCAAGGACTTTAAAATTATTGTTAGTAATTTACTTCTACCATATTGCAGCAGAGAGTAGTTAGAAGATAGATAAATGTGATGTATAAGACACTATGTGGAAAAACAAACTTTACAATTTAGGTGGGGGTGGGGGAGGAGGAATGTAGTTGAGGTGTGAGGGAAGGGATGGTAGGGGAAAAACAAAGGAGGAGGTAACAATGCTCGATAGGAAATGTACTCATTACCTTGGTCATGTAACTGTAACCCCTCTGTATAGTATTTTTACAATAGAAAACGTATTAAAATTTAAAAAATGCTACTTTGAATCACTGTGTTGTGGAATAGGATACTTAATACAACTTTCAAAAAGACTGATTTCTTATGAATCCTTATGTTATATCCACTTTAAAAACCATTGAAAAAATTGCTGTGTTTTTGGGGTTAATGTTTGTTTATCAAGAAAGTTTTTTCCTATTTTCTATTTAGAGTAAGAAAGATAGGTTTTAGTGGTAAGTGTATCTATTCTTATAATTTAGGTTAATGAGAAGAGAAACCATCATCATGCTGCAACAGATCTCATACACCTCATTTGTGAGGTCTCTCGTAGTTATTCTTTGTCTTGTATTCTCATAACTCTATGACTCATTTTACATTGTATTACAATAAGTCATTTACATTTCTTCCTGTCTCCCTGTATTTTCTTCTTAACAAACATCTGGCTTTAAAACCCCAAATGCTGTGGCTCAAGTGGTAGAGTGCTCGCCTTGAGCTGAAGAGCTGAGGGACAGCACCCAGGCCGAGTTCAAGACCCGTGCCTCCCCCCCCCAAAAAAAAAAAAGTTAACTGTTTTAGGGGAAAAACAAAGGAGGAAGCAACAATGCTTGATAAGAAATGTACTCATTACCTTGCTCGTGTAATTGTAACCCCTCTGTACAATATTTTCACAATAAAAATTTTATTTAAAAAACAAAAAACCCCAAAGGCATGGACCATCCTTCCTAGTGTTCGTGTTCCTAGGGCTCTATGCGGGTACTTGTATATTGAGTGCTCTGAGTGTTTACTGACTGGATCAATGAATTCTTTCTTGTCCATTTCAGAAATATTCAGTAAGGTGTCTTGAGGGGAGCATGTACCCACCTGCTCACATGGGGGCAGCTCCGGGTTGATGCTGCCACTCCTCTTTGATCTCCCTGCAGTCTCTGCTAAAAGGCTGTCCTTCACACCTTTCCAGACATCTTCACTTCCTCATCTCCCTGTTTCTTTTTCTTCCTAGCACTTGTACCTGGCATAGATTATGGTTGTCTTCTCTGATTTTTCCTTGACTCTGTTTATAGTTTTAGCCTCATTTTAAACCTTTCTTCTCTATTTCCCCCGTGTAGTGTTCACTGCTATTTATTTAGATTTGTGTTTTACTTACTTCTCTTAAGTTATTGTCTGTGTACCTTTTTGAAATGTGAGCTCTCGTTGGACAGGGATTTTGTGTGTTTTCTTTCCTACTTCAGTACACTTAGAACAGTGTCTGGAACTCTGCAGGCAAAAGTAAATAGTTGCTGAATAAAGAAGTGAATGGGTACATTGAAATCTATTAGGAAATGGCTTTGCCTCTTTCTTGTTAATGTGGTTCTGATGTCTAGAAGAGGCTTGCTACCAGGCAATTATTCTGTAAGTAATTTTCTTTTCCCAGTCCTGGGACTTGAACTCAGGGCCTGAGCATGGTCCCTGAGCTTCTTTTGCTCAAGGCTAGCGCTCTTCCACTTGAGCCACAGTGTCACTTCTGGCTTTTTCTGTTTATGTGGTACTGAGGATTCAAACCCAGGGCGTCATGCATGCTAGGCAACTCTCTACCAGTAAGTTATGTTCCCAGCCCAGTAAGTAATTTTGAATGGATGAATCGCAGGACTCACAAATTCAGTACAGGAAGGGCAGATATTTACATTTTTGAGTTTAAATTATAAAAAATTTTCCAAAGCAGTAGAAATAGTTTGTTATTAACTTAACCTGTAATTTATTCTGTTTTGAGATCCCATTGGCAAAATTTTATTATGGCCCATTTTGATTAAATCTGTTTAACCAATTTTGATTGAACCAATCATATGGTAGTAAAGGTTAGAAAATTTCTCTGGCATGTGCTATTTTTGTTTTATATTGTTACTCCTAAATCATCATGTGTATTTGACATTGATGAAGTGTGACTACATTTTGTAAAACTTTTTTTTTTTTTTTGGGTCCAGTTGTGGGGTCTGAACTCTGGGTCTGGGCGCTGTCCCTCAGCTCTTCAGCTCAAGGCTAGCGCTCTGCCACTTGAGCCACTGTGCCACTTCTGGCTTTTTTCTTTTTGCTTATGTGGAGCTGAGGAATTGACCCCAGGGCCTCATGCATGCAAGGCAAGCGCTCTACCACTGAGCCACCTTCCCAGCCCTTGTAAAACTTTTAGCATTACATTTTTAGACACAAGTGATATATCATTTTCTTCCTACCGTTCTTAGTTTGTGTATGTTAAAATGTGTACATTTATTTTAGTTAATTCTTTAAAAGTATAGTTGTGATATTTGTTACAGCATTCTCATTCATGTTAATAGAAATATACTTTAAAAAGTTTTCTTTTTGGTATTGGGTGCTAATAGCACATTTCAGAAAGATTATTTCTTTTTAAAAATTTTTAAATTTTTTATTGTGAGAATACCGTATAGAGGAGTTACAATTACATGGGCAAGATAACGAGTACATTTCTTATCAAGCATTGTTGCCTCCTCTTTGTTTCCCCTTCCCATCCCTTCCCATACTCCCCTCCTCCCTTCACCATCCTCCCCCCAACCTCCACCAAAGTTGTAAAGTTCGTTTTTCGACATAATGACTTGTACATCTCATTGTTGCAATTGGTCCACCTGTATCCCTAGTTAAATGATTTGTTTTTGCCCTTCCCCTCCGCAAATTATACCAACATCAAATACGGTGAAAGCATGGGTTAGACGGTGGGGGAGGGACATACAAAGCAACATAGAAATCATCTTATGAATATATTAGAAACAGTTGCATGAAAGGAAAAAAAAACCCAAAAGACATTTGAATACTTACCTTGGGGTTCATTTCCCTAACACCAACTTATCTGACCTTATCTACTTGACTCAGACATATACGAGTTATTGCAAATAAGGGAAACCATGGGACCTATGTTTCTCAGAAAGATTATTTCTATATATTTAAATTAGCCATCTTTCTGAGAGTGAAATCTTTCTGGAATGTTGAATGTAATCTGGTCAAAAAGCTATAATGTGAATCATCTTTTTTTAATCTGTAGAAATAATGTAGCCCAGGTGCGAGAGTAATGACTATCTAGTAGTAGCAAGCTATATATACTTTTTATGCTATTGTTCTAGTCGGGCATGAGGCTTGAACTCAGGACCAGGGTGCTCCCTGAGCTTTTTTCACTCGAGATTAGAGCTTTATCAGTTTGAACCTCAGCACCAGTTCTGG